CCCCATCCCTGGAGGCATTCAAGGCCAGGCTGGATGTGGCTCTGGGCAGCCTGGTGTGGTGGTTGGTGACCCTGCACATAGCAGAGGGTTGAAACTAGATGATCATTGTGGTCCTTTTCAACTCAGGCCATTCTATGATTCTATGATATGGTGATATAAAAATATGGAACTAAATACTTCTGAGGAGATGCAAAAAGGAAGAAGTAATGCTTTATCACAGAGAATTAGGCAAACTTGGAAGCAAATGTTACGTCCATTGTGGTAATAGATAAATAAGAATTCTGTAGATAATAGGTAGATAAAAATTGTACTGTCATCAGTACAGTTTTATTAGTAGGGAAGCATTTTGGTCTTCAATCAAAATAATAGTATGCTTTCTTCATAGTCCATTCAGTGACAAATCAAGTGCAATACATAATTAATTACTTAAGCTTATCTAATCTGTCTTCATTAATTACCAAGAAACAGGTGTTTTCTGCTCATGCTTGGTCTGAGAAATGCTGGTGAGAGTTTTAATCACTCTGGGAAGTTACTGTGAAATAAAATGGGGATGAATTTATTTTCAAACTCCACTGTAACTGTCCTTGTATATGCTGTTTTCCTGTAAAAACAAGTTTCCTTTTTGAGAGAGTAAACTTATCCATTGTTTATAGCAGATGGAAATCTGCATACTCTTCAACCTTACATTGGTGTTTCTTTCTTTCCTTTTTTTTTTTCTTTTTTTTTTCCAGTCATATCATCTCTGGGAAAATTGTATTTGAGTGAGTAATTTAAATCTCATTGTACCGATTCATTGTCTGAAAAGATGATACTGGCTTTGTGTATAGGAGTGCTGGAAGAAGTCTTTGAGACTTGGAGAGAGATTTCAACAGGTGGTCTAAAAATAGTAAAAATGTGCTCAATTACCAGGGATTGCTGGATAAGTAAAATATTTTCTTCCCCCTTGCTAGATTTAGTCCTTTAGAGAAGCTGAACTTCCTTCTGACTAGATGTGAGAATGAAATCTCAGTCATCTTTTAGGGCAAGATCTTGATTGTTCTTTAGAATTTATGAATATGTCTCCTAATTCCTAGTTTCCTTGTGACTTTCTTTTTGATGGACCTATGCTGACTGAATTTTCTCCAGTGCCACCAACATATTTTTACTGTGCCTGTTGACTTTAAATCATGCTGTCAATGTGCCCAAGTTAGACTTGGCTTGCAGTACCAATCTGAGACATTCAACTTGTAGGAAAGCATAGCAATGCTGTGCGAGCATTGATTCAACTTAAGATATCCCATGTGGAATTGTCTGTGAGCTTTTATCATAGACGTCATTGCCCTTCTGCTTCTTGAGGACCGACCTAACTACAGCAGCCACACAGGTAGTGAAAGGTTTTATTTTCCAATAAAAAATCAACAGCCTCAGAGAACTGATCAGTGATTAATTACATTTCACAAAGTGTAGCACTCTTGATGTCCTTTTCACATAAAGGATTTTACTCCAAATACCTTTGCAGTATTGCAGCTAAAGGAGTCTCTTTAACTAACTATCACATTATATTTCCTTCATGAAATGCTTTTGGTCTTGACCACTGTTGCACTGATTGTGAGAAACCTAAGCAACTAATACCCAACACAGAGTTGTAGTATTTTGGCTGCTATTGGAATTCAAGATCTGAAAAATTAACATGTCAAAGTTCACATTTTTAGTAGCTTTCATTGAGCTCTTCTGGGATTTGAAAACATACATCTCCGTGGAGTATTTCAGTGCATACTACCAAAGTATCATTATCATTTACAGTTTGGGAAGAGCTACGTGCCATGCTTGTCCCTCTCCTCTTTCCCTTAACAAAAGTATGTGTATTTCACTGATGAAACTTCTTCAATAGGCAGGGAAAGAAAGTTCTCTGAAAATCTGGGGAATAAAGGATCTATTCCTACTGTGTATTTTTTCCACTTCAAAACTTGACAATGATTAATCATAAGGCATTGCAAACAAAGGTGCATTATTATTTTAGCACTAGACATTTGCAGAAGATTTTGTTTTAGGATCAGTGCTATTATTTGTGCAATGAACAGTGAGTGAATGTAGCACAGCTCTCCAGTCCTTACTTGCTTTATTGTCTTCCCTTTGTCTTCTGTGTTCATTTTTTATTCTCATTTGCCACTTTCATCAAGTAATATAGACTGGATTTTTTTGTTACTGCAAGGTGGAGTTTCTTTCTTGTGAGTCATATGTTTTTATCAGGATGTAACTCAGAGTAAATTGAAGTACCTTCATTTTTCATCTGTTGCATCTTTTGACAGATTTGATGGGCAGTGCATTTCAAAATTAGTTAATTTTGAAAACATTTATGACTACATTTTTCTATTGTAGTGAGTGAGATATAAGTGCTCTGTGGATAATACTTTTTTGTCTGGTATAATTTTTGAAAGATTTAGGTTAAAAAAACCCCACAACACAACATAATGAAGGATGCTTAAAAAAAATTATATATGGTAGAAGAGTCTTATCAAATTATTGAAACCATGGGATCAGATGAGTAGCATGGACATAGAAAAACAAATCAGGCCCTTGTAGGGATGGTCTGTTGATCAAAATTCTATGTAGAGACTGGACTCATGCTAGAATAGGCTTTTATTTCAGCCTGTATTAACAGCATAATGATGACCACTATACTGCGATGTTCAGTTAAAGTAATTTTGTACTTATTGATAGTAGGTTTTTTGTGTAATTGCTTTTTTTGGGGGGGATTTTTTTTTCCTTCATTGTCTGTATAATATAGTCAATCTCTTAAGCATTTTATTTGAAAGGAGTGAGCTGTAGACATCTTTTGCCAGTTACTAAGTATCTTCAATTCCCAATTTATTACAAAGCAAGTACTTCCATTTCGTCAGTTAATGATGATTTCTTGTAGCAAGGCTATTATTTGTATGGAAGAAACTGGATCTGTACTCTTTTAATTTTGAAACATTAAAATCTATGCAGTAACAAAGCCTGAAAATCACTTGCAAAGTTGACTGGTAGAAAAAAAAAACAAAACACATCCATGCCAAGGGCTGATCTGTGATCCAACCACCTTCCCAGTGTTCAGTCTGCTTTCTGTATTCTAGTGCTTCCTTGACTTACAGACATTACTTTTCAGATATTTGACAGCTACATTATGAAAGGAATCTAGATTTCTCTTTTTATTGAGATTTCCTGTTAGCACATTTAATTGTATTCACAGCTGCATTCATACATCTCATATCAATGAAGAGCCTTGACTGAGGTTCACTGAGATGTACTTACTCTGGCCAAGCTCTTCAGAATTTGGCTTAGGTGAACAAAGGCTCTTCCTCCCAATAATTGCCATTTTTTACATGTGATTTTAACTGAGGACTTTAATGGAAAGAGTAGGTTTCATCCTGTTCTTTCCTGCATGCATAAAGGCTTTCTCCTTATGTTTATTTCTTTGGTGCTTGATAGAGCCTTTGTTCCTTTCAGAATGTCTAGGAAATGTGAAGCTATATTTTTACCACCTGAAAAAAAGGACAGTCAAGATAATACCCTGTCCTAGTACAACTACTGACAGGCTACATAAAAGTGGACTTTGATCCTACTTTTTAGTCAATTCCCAACAAGCCAAGGCAAGGAGAAAGCTTCACGAAGAACAGGCAATTAAAGAAATGCATTACAATTGTGCCCTACATAACTACCATAGAGAGCTGAGCACAAGCAGAGGAGGAGGTCAATAGGCAGACTTGCAAGGGTTTCAGAAAAGCTTAAGATTTTCACTGCTTGTTAAAGATTCATGCAAGCCAGCAAGGAGTGTATTCCCTCTTAGAAATAAGAGAGTAGACGCGCATCAAATTATTTATCATACCTGATCCAGAGTCCTTTATCTAGTAATGTCTGAATATAACCATCTTTTAGTGGTTCAACATACAGAGTTTCTACCTCTGTTCTTACTCAGTCCTTATTCAGGAAAATGTACATATATGTCTAGTGTATGACTTACAAACCACTGTTAATCTAGAAGATCAATATCTGTGTGCTCAAACAAAAGCCCAGTGTGAATCATTAGACAGTAAAAGCATCCAATTCTGTATTTCTGTTTTGTTTATTTTATACACATAGGTTATTTCTTTCATCCAAGAACAGAAAAATACCTTTGCAGAAGTTATTATTCCATTGAATTTGAACCATTGTGTTTTTACCACCATTTCTACATTGGTACTACATGTCTAAAAGCACACTAACTCATGTTTGATTTACATGCTCTCTTTTAGAGCATGCATAGATCTTCTGAACACTTTCCTACTTCTTTCTTTTTCTCTTTCTAAATTCTGAAACTTATTTCCGCTTTCTGAGTGCATTTCTGGATTATTAACTTTGGACTTGATGACATTTCTACAGACGTGCTTTATGAATTAAGCTATTCATTCATCCCAACAAGCTAGAAGGAAAGGCTTTCTTAGATGCACTAACTGCTTAGCTTCCTCTCGAGATCAGCAGATCTCTTAGTTAGTATTAAATACACAGTCATCACAGTCTGCTGATTGTTTTCTGGTCCAAATTGTAGAATCATGGTTGGAGTTGGAAGGGACCTTACAGTTCTAATCCCCTGCCATGTGCAGGGGCACTTTCCACTAGGTGAGCTGTGCACAGCCTCATCCACTGTGACCTTGAACACTTCTAGGGATCCACATCTTTTCTGGGCAGTCAGTTTTAGTGCCTCACTATCCTCTGTGTAAAAAATTTCTTCCTAATATCAAATTTAAATTTCCTCTTCATTTAAAACCATTGCCCCTTCTCCTATCACTACAATACCTGATAAAGAATCCCCCAGCAGCTTGTAGCCTCCCTTTAAGTGTTAAGACTGTAATGTCTCCCTTGAACTTTTTCTTCTCTAGTCTGGATGGCTTCAACTCACTCAGCCTGTCTTCACAGCAGAGGAGCTCCAGCCCTCTGATCATCCTCATAGCCTTTTGCTTTACTGTTTTCCTATAAAAGTATTGCTATTTCTTAACGGTGCTATGTCTTCAACTTGTGTTTGGAAACATGAAGACTGGAAGCAATATACCAGACTTATTTTTATCCCTACATGTATTACTACCACCAATGGTAAGAAATTAGTAGATAAATTTCCTTATAATTTTTAGATCCTGAATGGTGTTCTTACCCAAGTGTTCCCCTCTCAAAATACTTCAAAGTGAGATAAATATAATTAGGTTATAGAGCTATAACCTAGATATATTAACTTTGTATTTAACCTGCAGTCTAGATACCAAATTAAGTGAACTCATCCTTCCTAGCTTATATAAAATAAGGTTACTTATTTTATAACTTAGTCATAATGTACAAGTTGTTCTGTTGGGAAAAATGAAAGAGGTAGATTTTCAAGAAAAATAGTGTAAGCAAGTCCAGCTTACTTAAATTAGAAGAGTTAAACTGGTGAAAAGGAACATTTTTTCAGTAATGAGAATTAAACTCATTACAGTGGATGTGGCAGACAATACCTTGAAATGTTAATTTTATTAGCTAAATGCACTCCATCTTGAGTGGAAATGAGCTGATATTCAGATATGATAGGATAATGTACTTAGATTTATCATTGCTGCTGTTTTTCTTAGAAGGGGAGATTAAAAGTCAGGTTTCTCTGCCTGCATACAGCATTTAATTGTAAAGGCAAACCTTGAACACCTAATATCAAGAAGAAGCTTGCAAGGGAAAAATAGAACACTAAACTACCATTAAAATCAGACAATCCAGAAGAATGTAACTCAAAAGTGTCTTAGTATTTAAAATAAATGGGAAAAGGAGTGATATAAAAAATACCTAACAGAAGATCCCCATGAGGAGAAAAACCACCTTCAGAGAAGAAAGGCTATATTTATTAAAAAAATATATGTTTTTTATAAAATCCAGCTGTTCTTGGGGTGGAGTTTCTTTTTCTGCCTAAACATACTCTAACGAATGCCGGAAACTTGTGTGTCATGTATGTGATGCTGGATGCATTCACTGAGTATGCAGATTTGGGATTGTGGCTCCAGGCAGCAGCATTCAGTGAAGGATGTCTCCAGCGCTGTGCAGTGCACTGGACCTCAGAAACTGAGTCCCATGTCAGAGAGTGATAACAAGGAGGCACACCACTGCGGGCACTACATCTATTAATACAGCATCAAATTTTAACAAAGACCTTTTAGGATGCAGCAGTTGGGACTATGCGTGGAATTCTCTTGGTGGTGAACTGTTATTTTCACACCCGATCCATCCCCAGAATTTCTTGAAGCATCTATTTACATCTATACTCCCTTAAACACTGAATCCAAACCTTTACTGTGGAAATCAGGCCCATTAGTACTAAGAATTTTTAGAGAAAAGGAGGAAAGAATAAGAGCCACATTCAAACAAGTTTGCTTTTAAAGGAAAATATCCAACAGGTAGAAGCCAGAGTTGGAGTTCACAGTTTTACTTAGATGTAAATCAGAATTGGTATTAACTTAAAACCAAACCAACAAACCCCAAACAAACAAAAGAAAAACAGTTTGAAAATATTTTAGAATTCAGGCATTTATGAAATTTCTTGTCATAAAAAGTGTCCTTAGATAACAAAACAAAGGGGATCTGCTTTGTCATTAAGGAAGTACTAGCTTTGAGCCAGAAAGTGGAAAATGGCAGTGTACTTCTTTTTTTCATATTATGCCTCTAGAAGTTCTAAATCTGCAAGTTGGAAGGCCCACATTTCCCCTGAGGGAGACCTTTATATCCACTGTGATGATAAAAAAGGATATAGTTCTGAAAGCATCACAACAACTGATCGGTAAGTGAAAACAGTTTCCAATTAAGATTCTTTTGGCCACAGAGTGTTTTGAAGTTTGACTGGGCATCTCCTCTTCCTTATGAAATATAAAGTGATTCACTGTTGAGAGGAAAGTTCCTTTCACAGCTTTCTAGAACTCATTTTTTTACAGTCTTTCCACCCTCCCTCCCCCTTTTTATTCCCCCCAGCTATTTAATTTTTGCCTATTCACAAACATCTTTGCTACAGATGAATTTTTCTTCTTAGCTACTTTCTTTCAGGGCTGAAATGAAAGTTGACTTTCATTCACACAAATGCACAAATATTACTAAATAGTCAAAGGATGAAATATGTGGGTGTTTTTGTTGTTGTTTGTTTGTTTTTAAATGTTGCAGTGTTTTTTTTTTTTTTTTTTTTTTTTTTTTGTCCTGCAGGTTTGGTGAGAATATCCATTACAGTTAATTTCCACCAGATGAGTAGAAGCAGTAATGATACATTCATACCTCTTCTTCAGAGAAAAAAAAATTACTCTTGAGAGTGGAAATATAAAATAACAGATATTTCTTACTTCATGTCACCATAGGGATAGACTAATCTCTGAAGCCAATAGCCAGTATGGATCTGTAGTGGCTTTTTTTTCCTTTCTTCTTGTCCTATTTTAGAATTAACATCTGTTTTGCCCATAATGTAACTACCTGTGTGAGTGCGTGTGTTCTTGAAATACGCATGGCTGTATGCTTATGAATTCATATAGGAATGTAAAATACAGTTATAAAAGAAATGAGTGAAATGTTTTTGTCCAAAACTTTTGTGTTCTTTCATGGTTTCCTTTTTCCCCCACAAGAAGGGAATAAAAGATCCAACCAAAACATTGCTAAAACGCCTTTGCTAAAACACTGCAAGAAATGAGACTTGGATCTCTTAAAGTTTTGAGTTGAAAAGCTCATGACTGTAGCTGACTTGTCGCTGAACAAAACATCACTGAGTCACTGGTGCATTAAAAGCATCTTTGTCATAAATACTAAGGGGTTTTGAAAATTTTTGTTTTTACTTGACTGAGGAAGGAAAGAGCAAACTCTAGGATCAAAATACTAATTGTTTTTGTCTCTTACGAAACAAGATCTCACAAGATTTTCCATGATGTTTTAGTGTGCTGGATGTTGTCTCTTTTGAGCATTCAAAGTAAAGTATTACTTAGATTATTTATTTTTTAACTTTTTCTCTCAGTTACCTTACACCAAAAAGTATTTCCACTGTTGGCTGAAGAATTGACCATGAAGAGTAGTTGAATTGTTTGTTGAGGCATTTGGTGAGTTGATGAGAAAGTAAAAAGCCACAAGAATTTAGGGTATATCCTTAATGCAGATAGTTGGTGACTGCAACAGAAGAGGCATAGTAGAGTGAGATTTAACTAAATTTGGAAATGAATAGCAGTGAAGACGTTGCAGCATGGACTTCAGTGCAAGCAGGAGAACCTACAAAGTGCTTGGGTTCTAATACATAAAGCTGAGCTACCATGAAGTCTGTATAAAACCACATTGGTGTCCATATTGTTTTTTTCGGTAGCTAAACGAAAGTAGCTCTGGAAAGAATTGCATGGCTGCATTCATACCTCTCAGTCGCAGTAGTTTTAGATTAAGGAAAATGCTTACATTTTGAAAAAATATTGCTTGTGAAATTTGATCTTGAACTTGTAACTGTATGTTCAAGGTGCTACTCCCTCTTGACTCCTAATCTAGTAAATTATCGTTAAGAGCATCTGGGGATACAGAAAGAATGGCAATATGCTGATTGTTGTTTAAATAATGGTTCCTAAAAGTTCCTCATTATCATAATCAGTGAAAGTGTGATGCAAAGTAGTCACTTATCTTATTTTTCTGTTATATTCAGGTTGTTTTTTTTCCATCCAAAATTATCAAATAATGAACTGTCTGCTTAGAAGGAAAGTCTTCAAGGATTCACTGCTTCTTGTCACCAGAACTTGAGTGTGCAGTATCATGTTTGCAATTTTTCCAACTACCTTCAGATTGAACACAATTCCTGGCAATTGGAACAGATTTTCAATACAGACAGGCCTAGGGAAGAACTGGAAGAGGAGGAGAAATCTAATTGCTTTTCCTCATGTTCTCATGCATGATGTGGTAATGTCAGAAATGTACAGTCTGCTATCAGACAAAGGCCGTGTCTGCCTGTGACAGTGCCCTGCTTGCCTCACAGGAGAATTTCTTCTGATGAGGCTTTTTCTGAGTCTCTGACATCTGTTCTGCTTATTGGAATTAGAACTTCTATGTCTTCACATATTTCTGCAATGTCTTTTGGAAGGTTTCCATAGACTTGCCTTTCTGTTTTCTTGGCCTAGTGACCAGTGACATATAATTAATCTTAAAAAATTAAATCTACACTCGAAGGCATCTGAGGATGTCCTGCCAGGTGGGACTGGATATGCTCTGGCTATTAATCTTCAGCTTTTTCAGGAAATAGTTGATGTGTGATGAAGCTTACAATGAGCTACAGTGAGCCAGGTGAGGTATGTCTTCTAATTCTAGGAATGAAGACAAAGCAAGCGTGTACCTTGATCTCTTCCCCTTCCATGATAACAGGGCTAAGTACATTAATGAGAAGATAAATTAGAGGGTAAACTGGTTCTGAATGGTGTGGTTCTGAACCCATTGTGGAACACACTTGAACTGAAAAGTCTGACATCACTTTTTTTTGGTGCAAAGACAGTGCTTATTCTTAGTATCTCCTGTGGTTGATCCATAGCATAGTGCTGGATCCTACCCAGAGAATTAGATAATATGGCCCCTGTAGTTACATTTAGCTTATTCTTTCAGTTTTTAATTTAGAAAATTCATTTATTAGTGCTAGTTTTCTAGCAAGTCTGTTCACTATTTTCCAAACACATGTTCTCTTCTTCTGACACCCACCTCCACATACTTGAGTATTTAATGGTTTACAATTAGCATGCCATCTTGTGACTACAGAACCCCTGAGAGGTAAAATGAATATTTATCATTTTAAAATGAACACAAGTTTAACCATCAAAATGATGTAAGTACTACGTTTACCTTTCATTTAACTTCTTTTCCTTACTGGAATCACTGTAGGATAAGAAAGGAAAAAGCCTATTGATCCATCATACGGACAATATCTTCAAAATCTACCAGTTTTTCTTTGGTGATATCCTATTTCCCACCTGTGTTATACAGATGTACACCTGTAAGCAAGTCTAGCCTAGCATGGAAAAATTTAGAGTGCATTTTTTTTTATCACAGTGGAGGAAATGACTCAACATATCACTGTAGATGGGGGCTGCTTATGTCTTGGTTTTTAAAGCACAAGAGTTATGAGCTGTTGACTGTGATGCTGAGTGGCTGGACTGAGCTGTGGATTATGAATGGGCAGAGAATGCACTGAGCCCAATTTCCAGCTCTCAGCTCTGTTTTCCTTCCCTTCATGGTTCCCTGGCCCCAGGTGCTGGATATCACACCGAATAGCTGTTAGACAGAAGGCAGACAGATAGTTATCATCATACTGTTTGTATTAACTGCTTTATTCCTCACATCAAGCTCTGGGATGACTGAGTAATGCCTTAGTTTTGCAGATCTGAGAACAGACAATGATACTGATTGTGTGCTAAGTCTATGTTATTTTCCTTGGAGGAGGTGAAGAACCACCATTCATCAGTGCTGTCTTAATGTTTTTAAACTGTTTGGCAAACCTTCAATTTCATCTTCTATGTCATATATTATTAAAGATACAAGAATGGTTACAATTACCAGTCCATATTCCTACTAGAATACTACTAACTGAAATGAGTCTGTCTGGCTGATTTCCTTGGTTTCAATAGTACCTTCTACTGAAAATCTCTCTGAAACCTATTATAATCCTTTTCACTGACCAGGTTTGAATACAGCTTTTCCTTTCAGTAACGAAACAGTTAGCTTTCATTTCTTCACACAAACATCAGGCAAGTTATAATTTTAACTAAGGGAAATTTGGAGCAAAGTAGTTCTGTAGGTAGATCTTTGGAGATTGAAGGATACCAAACCTTTGGAAACAGACCTTTGGTTTTTTGACTGCAGCCACCTTTTAGATGTGGGAAGTAATAGTACGTGAATACACACTGCTAGAAAGGTGTGTATAGAAGACAGCAACAGGAACAAGCAGTCATCTTGCCAAATCAGTGAGAAAAGCTGATAGGGTGAAACACGTAGGCATGATTTGTTGTTATGATTCAGAACCATAAATCCTCCATTGGCACTTGGTGCTTGAACTGTCTGTCCTTTGACACCTGTGAAACAAATGATAAATATATTGCTATCACATACAAGGCACCTGTTCTCAAACCTTCTTTCAACTCAAGATCTTTCTTTGCTCACCTGTAACCTAAATACTGGATTTAGAACCTGTTCTCAGTAGCTTTGCTAGCTATTTTGGAGCTAGCTCTAATTATTCCTTATACAGTCTTGTGCCTCCTATGAATCCTATTCCTAGACACTCTGCTCTCTGTGTATCTGGGCATCTAGCCCAGGCTGTAGGTTTCAAAGGCAGCAGGGTGCTGAGAGGTTAGGTACTGTAATGTTTTAAGTACCTTTGTGGATCTAGCATTTCTTCATTACCTGAAAACTGATACTCTGTTATTTGTTTGAGCTGTGTTTGCAATATATAGTTATGGGCATATGCAGAATGTTTTGTATGCCTGAGATAGTTTACACAATTAATTACAAGCGCAGCAACAAGGCTGAAGTACATTTTATTTTGTTTCTATTAGTACTTAACACATTCTTCATTGAGAGAAGCTGAGATGTGTGGTACTGTTGTGATTGAACTTGCTGCTTCAATGATGGAATTGTATTTCTTCTACAACATTTTGATTGAAAATAGCTTTTTTTTTTTGAGATACTGCAGTTTTCCATCGCTTGATATACATTTCACACACCTTGTAGAAGGCAGTATGCAGTACATTACATATACACATTTTGTAATATTTGCATTTGAATTTCATGTGGAGAAAATGTTCTGTTTTTTCCTTTTTTTTTTCTTTTTTCTTTTTTTTTCTAAGGGCCATTGCATGGACAGAAATTGTTGAAAAATATACTCTCAAAATTTATGAGGTAACAAATTGGTGCTTTATATAATTTTTTAGGATCTGCTTTGCTTCTCGTGCCTGAGCTTAGCATTGTTTTTCAGTTTTTTATTTTACAGGATGCTTGCTACATATTTCCCTTGCATTTCATTTTCATATTTCATTGACAGATTGGAAGCCCCATTACTTGAGAAAGAGGTTGCAGTAAAGAACTTTTGAATGTGTATCACCTTATCTTAATATCAGTTTAGAAAGTTTACTGAAGCTTTTCATAGTATGATGAAGAGATATAAATATCATCTCTGAGTTTGTGTTCATTTGTTAATTAACAATTAAGAGTTTTCAGTGATAACTCACACCTCTTAAATAATTAAGCTAACTTAATTATGAATGTTAACAGTTTGAAGAAATCTGTATCTATTCAGTCATATATTAACACTTCAAATTCTGTATTTGATGCTGTAACCAGAGTATTGCTAACCTTATATTCTCAGCTGAAAAAGCAGAAGTGTTTTATAGTTCCTGACTCTAAAGAACCACACTCTGAACATATGATAACTGTTAAACTGCAGGTTCGTGCTTACATGCAATCTTGTGGCAAGTTTGGCTTCTCAACTGTGACAAATCAGAGTAGTTCTGTGGAGCAGAGTCCAGCTGAGCCACGGCTCAGCACTCACAGATCTGGCTCAGGATGTTGTTTTAATTTCTATATACAAAATAAAATAATAGGTAACTGAGCTGTGATCTTTAATTCAGTATCAAGTGTGCACATCTGTAAAAGGTATTCTTCAAAATGCATAAATAAGGTAAATTTTGGCTGGCTGTGCTGCCTTTTATCAGGTGAGCAACTTGCTTGCTTTGCCTGCCTGCTCAACAATTCTTCCCTTCCCTCTTCTCTCCTTTTTCCTCTCTTCCTCTCCTCTCCCTTTTTTTTTTTTTTTTTTTTTTTGTCGTTTTAATGTCTTTCAGGAGGTGTTTGCATTGCTCAGTCACTCAAAATTCCTCGGGAACCAAGACCAGGAGAATTTGAAAAGATCATCAAACGCTTATTAGAAACTCCAAATGCTCGAGCGGTGATCATGTTTGCGAATGAAGATGATATTAGGTGACTGTTTCTTAATTTTGTCTGTTGAATATGTTTTCTCTTCACAAATTTGTACAATTGATTGGAGAAGAATAGGGCAGAAAGGGGGGATTTAAATTTAAATCAGTGAAAAAATGGTTGGAAATTTGGTATATAAGTAATTCAGTTGCAGTCAGATATTGCTCTGTTCCTCTGTATCATGGAGAACTGGAATCTTAGAATAATCTAGGTTGGAGAATACCCTTAAGATCATCAAATCCAACCATCAGCCTAACACTGCCAAATTCCGTCATGTACCTTATCACCATGTCCATACTGTTAAGTACCTCCAAGGATTGCAACTCCTCCACTTCCCTGGGCAGCCTGTTATAATGCCTAACCACCATTTCTGTGCATGAGTTCTTCCTCATTCTAAACCTCCTCTGGTGCACTTTGGAGCTTTTTTCTTACATCCTATCTCTTCTCACCTAAGAAAAGAGACTAACACCTCCTTGTTGCAGCCCCCTTTTAAATAGTTCTGGAGAGTGATGAGGTCTTCCCTCAGTCTCCTTTTCTCCAACTAAACAGCTGTAGTTCTCTTAGCAACTCCTCATAAGTCTTGGTTTATCAAGAGCTTCATTGCTTTTCTCTGACTTTTGAGCAAATCAGTAATCTTGCAGTAAGGGGCCCTAAAATTTAAGTATTTAAGTTGTCTTGCCAGTGGCACACAGAAGTCTGTCACTCTCTAGTCCTTCTGGCCAGACTATTTCTGTTACAGACCAAAATGCTGTTGGCCACACTGTTGGCTTATGTTCTGCTGGCTGTTGACCTGTACCTGGAGGTCCTTTTCTAATGGGCAACTTTTGAGCCACTGTTCCCTGAGCCCATAGTGCTGCATGGAGTTGTTCCGACTGCAGCAACTGACACTTAGCCTTGTTGAATGCCATACAATTGGATACACTCCATTGATCCAGCCCATCCAGATCCCTCCATAGATCCTTCCTACTCTTAAGCAGATCAGCGGTCTAGCCTAACTTGGTGGTGTCTGCAAACCTAGTTAGGGTACACTCAATTCCCTCATCAGGTTAATTGATGAAAATATTAAACAAAACTTGTCCCAGTGCAATACAGGTGGAGCCCTTGGAAACACCACTTATTACTGGCCTCCAGTGAGATTTAACTCCATTCACAGCAACCCACTGGGCATGGCTTTCTAGTTATTTTTTTACCCAGTGAATCTATTCCAAGTTCCTAACTAAAAGTATGGCTTTAATAGATTGTTTGGCAACTGAAAAGGAAGAAACCAGTAAGAATGCTAGAAAACTATATCTAAAAATGAAAAAAAAATCAAAAGGTACGGCACTGTATGTTAAGTTCAATACACTATCGTTAAGCATATTTGAGACTGCCCAAATCAGAGCCTGTTTGGTTCATATGAGCTTACTTATGGGATTCTAAAATTCTTTGTACATGCAGTTTATTTAATTAGGCATTTGTTTATTTATTTACAGGCGAATACTGGAAGCAGCCAAAAAAGCTAATCAGTCTGGACATTTCCTATGGATTGGCTCAGATAGTTGGGGGTCAAAAATTTCACCGGTTCAGCATCAGGAAGAAATTGCAGAAGGAGCAGTAACCATCCTACCTAAAAGAACATCTATAGATGGTAGGAATGCAACGGGACAAAACCCAGTTCTCTAATAATGTTCAAACAACCTAGTTCTCTTAAAAATATATTTAAAAAAAAAAAAAAAAAAAAAAAAAGTCTTCCTGGAGCTCAAGGAAAGCTATGCAAATAAATATTTTGAACTAACTCTACCAATATTCATTTAGTGCCTCAACTGACTTCACATGGGATTAAGTTCTTGAATTCAATGTACATTTCTCTACTTGGGATTTGGTAACATAAAGATTTCTAGATCTTGATTTTTCTATTTATTAAGAGCTTAGTCAAGTTAAGAACTTAAGTTCTGCAGCATTCAGATTTTAACTTTCCACTTTCTTGTCCTCAAGGTAGACCACAATCTTAGGTACCTAATTCTCTTATCAGGGCAGGTGTAGAGTTAAATGTCTCCAAGCACTGAGCAAACTACCAGAAGAAAACTGAGCATAAGGCTGTCTGAAATCTCTCTGTTTTCTGGACATGTGCAAAACTTCAACTAGGTGAAGTTTCCATTCCCTCAGGGATAGAGCCCGGAGGGATTTTTTTGTTCAAAAAGATAAGTGATTCTTCTGTTAAGGAACTGAGGAAGTTTGTTTTAATGGCTTTTGTTTGCTTTGAATATAGCTCAAAGCCAAGGAGATGTTGTATCTGCAATTAAGCAGTCTTATAATGGTCTAGTAAGTACAGCACATGTGGAGGAGAGCTTAACAATAGTCTGGTGATTCTTAGTGCAAAAAAAGAAGAGCAACAGATGGATGTTAATGAATTGGCTCATTCTCATGGGAGGAGATGCATCTAGGATCTGCTTTCCTCTCCTAAACTTCTTATAAATTTTTCTTTAAGAAGTCACTGTATTAACAAAGTTTATGATGTGGAATAAGAGACACTTTTCTGGCAAGTGGAGATTGTTTCTTTGTACCGCCAGTGGGGTAACGGCCATAGTAAGTCCTGGTCTTAAGTGCTCTAAGCTGGGAAATGATTAGAAAAATGGCACTATTGATACTGTTTGGAGAATTTACCCTGATGGAAGTATTCATGAAGAGCTTAATCCTATTGGTATGTTGGTCATGATTTTATTAAATCTCCTGGATTGATGGAGTAATACTGGTGCAGAATCTAATCAGATTTAAGGGGCAATCTTTAGTTTCCCAGCTTGGTGGGCAATTTATGTGACTTGGAAGACTTCAGCTTCAACAGAGAGGTACTCGGTGAATTTAGGTGGCCACAAAGAGAAATTTATTTGAATCTTGGCACTTGAGTCAGTTTGTCTAATTTCTTGTAGGTACCTAATACTTTATTTGGGTCATCCGCTGTATTAAAAATTAAGTTCTCTTTGCCATCTGCATGGCATTATTTTTTATTATAGAATTGTGCTGTAGATTTAGAGATGCTGTAACTGCTGTAGGTATTTAAAAATATATTTTTCTACAGCAAATATGGAATTGTAATAAAAACAGCATTATTTATTCCTTAGATATGCACATAAAATATTATTCTAAATAGCACCTATAGTTCTTTCTTGTTATGGAATTCATACAAAATGCATTATAGTCTTTAAATGACTACCTGTATGCTGTATGATATTTTAATGCCTTTTTCTCTTTCTCTCTTTCTTAAATGTAGGATTCGATAGATATTTTCGGAGCCGAACACTTGCTAACAATCGAAGAAACGTATGGTTTGCAGAATTTTGGGAGGAGAACTTTGGATGCAAGTTAGGATCCCATGGAAAAAGAAATAGCAACATAAAGAAATGCACAGGTAACTGTGATGGTAAAACATTATTTATAAGTCATTTATTGGAGTGCTGGAAAGGAACAGCTTCCTGTTAGCCTTTATTGTGTCTCTCTTCAGTTCTCCTATATAAACCTCTACAGTAAAAAAAAGTGTGATGTTTTTCCTCAAACCCAAATAAAAGTTTCATGGGCAATATTTGAGAAAGTTTGTAGTTAATTTGCGCAAATTCAATGAAGGTACAGATTTTCTTAAAGACCTGTGACTGTGGTTCAGTTCCATTCCTGTTTTCAGTGACCTTTTCTCTCACCCCGTGTATAGTTGTCTATATGCATTTTGTAGAGAACAGGTACATCACAGCAATTTTCATATTATTATCCCTGAAAAACATAGAGCACAAATTAAATTACTTTTTGAACTACTGAGGTCTTGATGGTAGGTCAAGTCATGAACTCCTTATTTAGTTTACAATCTGCGCATGAGGATGGAGTAAAAATCAAATCAGTATGTCCTTAGTGCTTGTCCTTATGTGAAAAGAACAGGATTCTGTATTGTTTTATAAAGCTGAATGTCCCTATGAAGTTTAAACAAAATTTGTATGCAACTGGAACTGGTTTTCTTGCTCAGGTATCATGCTAAGACACATTAGTCATGACAGATAATAGGGCAGTCACATTAGTAACTCCTGAGTTTCATCTCACCTGGAAGCTGGCTTTTTGCTGTCCCTTGCAGAGCTTTCTATATATTTGTTACCTTTAGTCTTCTGTGACTACAGCAGGCTGTTTATTTCCTTATATATGTATATTTCTGGCGTCATTTGCTTAATTACTGCTGTTACTACCAGTACTGGTACGGACCTCTGTCTCTAACTAGTAGTACCAGCAATACCAGTTTTCTGAACTGTGAGTGTAAGTTATCCATATACCTTGACTTTTGATGCAGTGTTTTCTTTCACAAACATTAGTTTTCATATGGAATGTGAACACTTTTGTTTGCTTGCTGTTCCAGCTTTTCTGGCTGAGTGATGATCCAGTCATGCGCCCTTTGTTATAGGACTGCTACACCAAACTTTCTCAAAACACAAGCTTTGTGCCAGCACCCCGATTTTTGTAGGATGTTCAGACACACTCCAAGGACATGCACCATAAGTCCCACTGACCCCAAACCATCAGACTTATGTATTTGTCCTATACCAGTGACTCAGAGACTTACTGCTTCATAATGCACAGATATATCACACCGAAATGTGAGAACCATGCTCACTCATTTCAATAGTGGTACCTTGTCCTCTGCCTTTTGCCATGAACTCCACCAAAACAAACAAACAAAAAGGGATGAAAAACCGTGCCTCACTGAACGAAATGATAGCTCGCTACTCTAATCTTCTACTCTTCGTTCTTAATTTGTGTAGAAGTCATGGCTGTGTAGCTACCCATGGCTGAGAAGAGATTATTATCCATTTATTATTTTAAGAGGAAAATAGATGCTTTTTTGACATTCTTCCAGAAGAATGAGTAGTAAGTATATAGACTGTGGTTTGGGAAACTCTAAATGTTGCCACAGATGGGCTTGTTGCAGCTCACATCTGTCAAATTTAAGTACTAAGTGAAAAGTAGCATATAAAATGCATAGTCTATATCTTAATAGTCAAAAACCAAACTTGGCAAAAACAAAAACATCAGTGTACTGTTTAACACTGTCCTGTTTAACAGTGTCCCAACTGAAATCAGGGCATCCTAGTTTTCTCATCTTTTGTCTGGGAAACGCTGATAAAAAGATCTTATTTGTCTTTTGCCCACCACCTAAATTTGTGTATATCTGTAGCTGTGGATAAGTCTGAAAGAAACCCAAGATCTTGAGATGCAGGAATGGGTTTTGTTAGGCATAAATCCAGCTTTTGGTTTTCAGCCACTCATGAGGCTGGTTTCTAGACTATATGGCTCTTATGAAATGTGCAAAAGTATGAATACAAGGATTTGAAAATGAAACAAATATATCACAGAGTACTCTTTTAAAAAAACTGCGCTGAACTTTGAATCTGACAATATTCATGTCACTCCTTCAGAGAACCAAATCTCAGTGATCGAAATAGGAAGCAGCAATTGTAATTAAGATTTAACGGAGTATGGTAAGAATTAAATGAAATTTACTTCCATTAACCTCAAAGAACATTCATGTTTGATTCCACTCTAACTGAAAATTCTGAAGAAGTCCTCTTTGCATATAGTAGAGTGTATGTATATATAGACAATTCTTCATGTTTGTATATATAAACACATGGAAAGCTGACATTAAATAAAGTTGCTTACTGTACCATTTTAACATGTGCAATGGGAGTCCCAAATTCCAATCTGACATAATGAAATATAGTTCTAGCAAGATTTGTTTCCCCATAGCATTGCTTTGAGGCGTGTATTTACCACACTGTTTTCAGTCTTTGAACAGTGAAGTGTGGTCCTTTAATAAAACATCAACAAAAATGTTAATTAAAAAAAACCCTTCATGCACATCCTTTTACAGTTACAGTAGTCTCTCCTTCTGTTTTGTATGGTTAGCATTTTAACTGCTCTGCCAACCTAATCAGCCTTTAACTGCCTATAATAACTGACTGCACTGCTAAAAATAAAGATGGAAGAAGAGTTTCCAAAAGCATGTGGAAGCCTGTGTAAATTAGTCTAATTTCAATTTGATCTATCAAACTCAACTATTAATTTCTCTCAAAAAAATCTCAGCACAGTATAAGAGATCTTTATCTGGAAACTTTACAGATGCATTACTTGTTTTTTCTTAACTAACCTATTTGAAAATAGAATTGTACACCTACAATATCAATAGAAGGAGATTTACTTGTGTATAAATGTTTTTATATATATAAAACCCTGTTCTGAGGAATGTAGAAAACAAATTTAAAATTTCAGTAGCAGGCTGTGCATCTTCTGAAGGTGAAGTGCATTGCTCTCTATTTAGTTTGGGTAGCAGTTTCATTCTCAAAAAAACTCTCATAAAGTAAGGTTTTTTCTTCAGTGAGATCTATGAAAAGTTTAAAAAATCAGCACAGGTACAATATAGATGTTATGCAATTTACTAGTCAATATTTTTCGATTGTACCACAATTCTCAAAAGTGCTAAGGTTTAAGAGGGACTGTTCCACACACAGAAGGAGTTGTGTGCTCCTCTACTTTGTGCAGCTTGTGTGTGGTGACCAGTACATATAGGCATGAAAGATAGAAAGACCAATTATTACTTTCTCTTCCTTTTCTGTTTGCCATTTTGTTGTGTCTTATGTGAAATGCTGCTTATGAATGTAACATATAAATCCTTTGCAGAAGAATTTTTGACTTTTTATTCACGTTTATAAAATGTCTATTGTTATTTTGCCTAAGTACAATAGTATGAAGTAAAGATTACATTAGCCAGATTGTGCTTCTGCAGTACTAAGCAAGAACTAAGATGGTTGCTGAATCTTTGTGACCCATCACATCGTTTGGATAGGTGAGACATTGAGGACTGTTGTACTTACGTCAATTGTTTATTACTTTCCTTTTGACTTTAACTCAAAATGATGAAAATTTGATGAAATTAAACACATTTGGTCCTCCTGTAGAGGACCACTTCCAGCCCTTACTCCTGAAAATGCAGAAGAATTCCAGAAGATTCAAGTTGTATTCAGCTAATGTGCAAAAATGTTGCTCAGTAAGTCTGAAGGCCATCACATCAGGTGACCTAACATATGCTGAACATTCATTGATTTAATTCCATCATTTCACTTGCTGTTATCTGTTTTGTTATTTCACCAGATAGTTCTTTCAAATCTCTTTATAATATATCCAGTGTATTGTTGCTTCCCAATCTAGCTGTCAAATGTAAGATTCAGTTACAAACCATGTCATTTTAAAAAGCTGCTTATTCTATTATGAAAAGGAAATTGTTGATGTACTCCCTAGACATCTTTGTTTCTCTATAGTTTTTATTCATAAATAGGAATTCAAGTCTTGTATTCTGTTGGGAAATATATCAATTTTGGATTTAGAATGTTTTGTAAAGTAATGAGTCATATTCCTCTCCACAGTAGTTTAGTGTATGCTGCCATATGAAATTTGATACAATTGCTGCCACGTTGGAACACTTGTAGTGTGCAGATGTACGTGCACACATGTGTATGTGTGTTCATAATGACTTATGGGTCCAGAAACTCTAGTTCCAGCTCGGACCTCTGCAAAACAGGCATAACCCAGTGAATGAATTGTTGCTTCAAGTACAATTTTATCTGAATTTTGGAACTGCACCTTCTAAAGTATAGCCTCAGAAAACCAGCAAATGGTGTTAAGATCTAACTTAGCTTAGATGTAACACATGTAAGAATGTCATCCGTATGAAATCCTTGTTCCTGGGAGGCAATAAGAATTTACTCTGTTATTTCCAGTACAGAATCACAGAATCACAGAATTGCCAGGGTTGGAAGGGACCTCAAGGATCATGAGTCTCCACCCCCCCTGCCACACAGGGCCACCAACCATCCCACCTAATGCTAGACCAGGCTGCCCAGGGCCCCATCCAATCTGGCCTTGAACACCTCCAGGGATGGGGCATCCACAACCTCTCTGGGCAGCCTGTTCCAGTACCTCACCACTCTCTCTATAAAGAATTTCTCCCTGACATCCAACCTAAATTTCCCCTCCCTCAACTTAAAACCATTTCCCCCTGTCCTGCTGTTATCTACCCTTTCAAAGAGTTGACTCCCCTCCTGTTTGTAGGCTCCCTTTAGGTACTGAAATGCTGCAATTAGGTCACCCTGCAGCCTTCTTTTCTCCAGGCTGAACAAGCCCTGCTCCCTCAGCCTGTCTTCTGTTGGGGAGGTGCTCCAGCCCTTTAATCATCTTCATGGCTCTCCTATGGACCCTCTCCAACAGCTCCCTGTCTTTCTTGTACTGGGGGCTCCAGACCTGGACGCAGTACTCCAGATGGGGCCTCACAAGAGCAGAGTAGAGGGGAACAATCACCTCCCTGTCCCTGCTGGCCACCCCTCT